TTTCTTTTTTTTCGATTTTCGATTCTCATTCATTTGAAAATAATAAATTTCCTTGATGAGGGCGTTACTGTTTATGTGTCTCGCAATAAAAAAAATAAAAAGAATATCCGAGTACCTGAAAGACCTTTTCTTACTTCTCACGTAGCTTGTGCACTCTTTCTTCTACCCTTTCGAACTTACGTGAACAAATGCTTCGGAGAGGGAAAACTTTCGAAAATTACCACGAAATCGAAAAAAAAGGGATTCGTCGTAAACGTGGCACCAGCAACCTTAACGGGGATTTCCCCGATTTGATTCGTTTGAAAAGGGTTTTAGTTATCGTAACGGTTTTGGGAGGGAGAGAGAGAATACGCAGCAAAGAGCAGCAAAAAAAAAAGAAGACAATTAATCGGAAAAAGTGTCATTAGAAAAAATGAAAAAGAGTGAAGAAGAATTACAAATTTCGGTGTTTCTCTCTCTCTCTCTCTTTCGATAGATAAATAAATTAATTAAACACGTGTTGTCGACATTTTAAATCATTTAATTGATTTTTTCTTTTTTGTTTTTTGTTTTGTTTCGGTCATTTATTCTCTCGTTCGGTCCGTTGAAAATGAAATTCATTTTAATTCCCTTTGAGTTTATTTACGATCAATTCAAACAAATTCCGTTTTTAAATCATCATCATCATCATCATCATCATCTAAAACGTGGCACCAACTCGCGGTTTTTTTTTTTCTTTTGTCGTTGCCCCAATTTTTTCTTTTTCTTTCTCTCTCTCTCTGTTTCCTTTTTTTCGATTCATTCTCGCAATTTTTTTTAAAATCTCGCTTTATTATTATTATTATTATTATTATTATTATTATCATTGTTATAGGTTACTCAATCGTCGGTAATGAAATAATTGAAAATTTCTCACGCCGAAACGAACGATTTTTAATTTTTTTTTTTTTTGTTGTGTTTTATTGTAGTAGTCGTATAGGATTTTGTAACGGCGAAACATTCTTTAAACAATTGTTGTTGTTGTTTTCGCGTTCATGTTGTTGTTTGTTTATTTGTTTTTTAATTTCCTGTCATTCATTCATTCATTCATTCATTCATTCGTTCGTTCGTTCGTTCGTTACTTAACTTTTTTTATTCTTTTCTCCACTTTTTTCCTTCCTTCTCTCTACTTCTCCACTTCGTATCAGAATAGTTGAAGTTGTTTTTTGAATTTCCGAATGTTGATTCGCGTGATGATAAATTTTTTTCGGTCCTTTTTCTTCGTCCAAATACCAAAAAGAGAAAAAGAAAAAAGGAAAGAAACAAAAGAGGAAGAAGGAAAACCAAAATCAAGTAAGGTTACGCACGTTTTTACGCACACACGTGAACGTAGAAAATAACAAATTAGTTAATTATTAGTAAAAAGATAAAATTATCGCCATTGTTGTTGTTGTTGTTGTTTGTTTCAATCATTAGATTCGTCCTTTGAAAAAAAAAACAAAAAAAAACAAATAATACATCCGGAGTTTATCAGGGTTCGGCCTTTTCCGTCTTTTAATTGTTTTTTATTTTTATTTTTTTCTGCTTAATTAATTAATTATTATTATCATTATTTTGTTTGTTTGTTTGTTTTTGTAGAACGAAATAACATTGATGAATCGTTTGTGCGTTGTTGTTATTACCTTGTGCGTTATTTAAAAGTAATTATTATAATATTAACGTAATTATTATTAGTCAATAATAATAATAATTAGGCAAAGGTTTCGCTCCGGTTGTCAATTAGGGTCATTGTTATTTTTCCCGTATTTTCTCACCATGTTTGAGTCTATCTCTCTCTCTCTCTCTCTTTCTCTCTCACTCGTGAAACGTATTCGGACTCACGGCAGGGTAGCAGGGTGTGTTTGTTCGTTGAAAATCCAGAGTAATAAAAAGTTAAAATGTCACTCACTTTGACCATATATATAAAAAAAACCGGATATTTCCCGTCGATAATGATAATGATAATAATAATGATGGAGTCGTTAAACTGCTTGTTGACATTTAATGTATTCATTAACTCGATTTTTTCCCCCCCCTCTCTCTTTCTCTCTCACAAACTCTTAGAAAATTTGTTTTGTCGAATCCTTCCGCAATTCTCTTCCTATTTTCCTTTTTTTTTTTTTTTTTTTCGAAAATGACGTGTCATCAGAGAATTTAAAAAAAAAAAAAAAAAAGTGTCAAAGGGTGAAAGTGACGTGTAAGGATGTAAGAAAGGAAGTGAAAAAAAAAACCGTTACGATTATCATTATTATTATTATTAAATCAAATTATTTTTTAATAACCGCAAAAATTTATTCGAAAGAGGCGACTGTGAATAATCGAAGGAAGAAATTATTATTATTATTAAGAAAAAAAAAGAAGCAAAAGCGGAATTGATGTTTCAAATGAAGGAAGATGTGTGAGAGAGAGAGAGAGATAGAGAACGGATAACGGAAAATATTGGAAAAGTAAAAGTGGAAAAAAAAAAAATTGACGAACGCATGCTCGTATGCACGTATGCACGATTGAATAAAAATTAATTCGTTCGACTTGCAAAAAAAAAAAAGAAAAGTTTCGATGTATTCAATCAATCAATCAATCAATCAGTCAGTCAATTTTATAAAAATTTAATTAAATTATGTAACTATTATTATTATTATTAATTTGGGTTTCGTAATTTGCTCTGGAAATGAATGAATGAATGAATGATTTTTTTTTAATATAAATTTTATCTGGAATGAAATAAACGGTCAAACGCGCGCGCGCGTGCGCAAAAAAGACATTTTTATTTTGCATTAATATGACGTCACGGTAATGACGTCACGTAAATCGCTTTCACTTCTCCCCCCTTAAATATTATTTTCGCTAAATTTTTATCTCCGTTAAAAAAAAAAAAAATGAAAATATTTTTATTAGAATGTTTTATTTATTTATTTACTTATCTGAGATTTTGTTTGTTTGTTTGTTTGTTTGTTTACTTGTTAGTTAATTATCGTTTCGTTTTTTGCATTTTCATTTGTTCAAAACAAAACAAAAAGAGAAAGAGAAAATTATGAAAATAATTAAAATCCACCGCGTTAATTAATTAAATTAATTAATTAAACGGTTATGTAATTAATTAAAGCGGTGATAAGATAAGATAAGAAAGAAAAAGAAATTTTTTTGGAAAATATTTCTGGAGAGCACGAATAATAACTAAAAAAATGGTTTATTATAATTTTTGGTTGTTGTTGTTGTTGTTGCTGTTGTTTGTCGTCGTCGTCCTCTCTCTCTCTCTCTCTGTCGTTTTCTTCTTAACTTTCTTTTCGAAACAGATTCGTTCATTTGGATGATGTAATTATCAATCAAGGAATGAAATGTCGTGGAAAATCGTGAATCGTGTTTCAACCGTCGTCGTCGTCGTCGTCCTGGAACTCGATTTTCTTCTCCAAAAAAAAAAAGGAAAAAAGGAAAAATTAAAAGGAAACTTTTTGGAAAGAAAAAAAAAATGACAAAGTTCACGTTCGACGACGCACGAAATCACGCATGAAATTCTTTTTTTTTTTTTTTTCTTTTGTTTTGCCGCTTGCCCCACCCCCTTCCTTCTCCCCGCTAATTAAAAAATTAATTATAACCGCTGGAAAATTCTCTCGGTCTTTAATAATAATAATAATAATAAGAAATATTAGAACGCGACGAGTTCGTGATTGATGACAAAAAAAAAAAAAAAAAGAAAATTTTCGTTTTCTTCATTCCCTTTAATTTCTCGTTTAACCCCTTTACCCTTTACCCCGTTTACCCCCTTTACCCCTTTTTTCTCCCACTTTTTTCTTGCTGGTAAACTGAAAAGAACCAACTTTATATCAACCCTTTATCGTCCTTGGTATTTAAATTCCGGATCACGAAATTGTGTTCAGCATTAAAAAAATAAAATTATAATTTTTTGGTGTTTCGGTCGTTATTATTATTATTATTATTATTAATAATGGACGTTTTAATAATAATAGATTGGTAATAATAATAATAATAATAATAATAACGAGTGGCAAGTCAATAAAATTTTTTTTTTTGGTTTTTATCCCTGCAATGAAGTAAATCTCAAGGTCAAGGCTTAAATCCAAGGTTTCTGTGAGAGAGAGAGAGAGAGAGAGAGAGGGAGAGACAAGGTGAGAGGGACAAAAACTTTCGCGGTTGACAATATCGAATCTATGATGGTGACGGTTACGACGACGACGACGACGACATAATCCTTCGGGTTATTTTATTCCCTAGGGAAGAGGAAAACGTTTGAACACGTCATCCCAAATAATTTTTTTTTTAGCTGTGGTCGCAGTTAGTCGGTCAGGTGATTCGTTCTCCATTTTTTTTTTTTTTTTCTATTTCGACCTTTTCTCTTTTAGGGTCACGTAAAATTTATTCATTCCAGTTTTATTTATTTCGATTTATTTTTTTTTTTTTTTGCTAATAAAATAAATCTTCGCAACTAGTTTGTTATAAATTCAAGGTTACCAATATTGAAAAAAAAAAAAAAAAATTAAAATGATTTTCTCGAAATATGGTAATTTTTAATTAACACGTTGCAGACTAATAATAATAATAATAATATCAACGATTTCTCGTTAAATATTTTATTATTATTATTATTATTACTATTGATTTCGTTTTTTTTGTAACGACGAGTAAATCGATTTCGAATCGATTTCACTAAAAATTTGCGATACGTCGCCAAAAAAAAAAGTAAAAAGTAAAAAAAAGTGAAAAAAAAAAATGTCGTCGTCAAAATTACGTTTTATTTATTTTTTTTTTTTTTGGTATTTCGACACGAATCGAACATGATTTTTTTTTTAATGCGATTGCTTCATGGTAAATCGTTAGAAAAATTTTATTATGTGCGACAAATTTTAATTAATGTTGTCAACGTGGCGACAAAACGTTTTGAACGCGAAAACTTTGCGTTTTTTTTTTTTTTTTTGTTAAAAATTTGCCCCGATTAATATGAATTAATCGATCGTCGTGGCGGGAAAGGTATACGTGGCGGTAGAAAGATGATGAACGTGGTGCAAGAATTAATTTTTGTTTATGTTTGTTTTCAGGTCATACGTGGAGTCCACATAGAACCCGAGCATATAATGAAAAAGAGAAGCATAGATCACCCGTTGAGGATTCTTTTATATTACGACGAAAGCGTTTACAGGTACGTAAGTTTTTTTAGAAATGGAAAGTTGCGGTCTTTTTGTTTTTAATTCTGGCATTCGGATAAGGAAAGTGAAGGTCGTTGTTTGTTTGTTTGTTTGTCGGACAAACGGACGGACGTTGAAGCAAAATTTTTCGGTTCGGTGAGGATTTCTTTTTAAAAAAAAAAATTTTTTAATTTTGTAACGGTCCTACTCCATCTTCTTGTTCTTCTTGGAAGGTTATAACCCCAAAAACAAACCTTGTAACTAATTTTTTATTTCCTTTTATCTTTTCCCTTTCGCGCGTGTGTGCCAACTTTTCTCTCTCTCTCTCTCTCTCTTCCTTTTTTTTATTTAAAATGAGTGACCCTATTGCAAACGTTTAAATTTTTTTGTTTGTCGCGACCCAGATATTTATATTTATTAATTTCCCCCTCTCTCCCTCCACTTCCCCCCCGCGGCGGTTTCCGGTGTTAATGCTTTTATTTCCGGATGTGAATTGATATCCTTTTGATGAGGAGGTTCGTTAAAAAGGTTTCGTAATCGAGCGCGAAAAGGAAAGAGAAACGATGGAGAAAAAAAAAAATTCTCCAATTCCGAGAGTGTTTGTTATTGTTGTTGTTTCTCTCTCTCTCTCTCTCTCTCTTTCTTCGTTTCTGGATGTTGCCTCAACACAATTATTAGGTGTGTCATGCTTTCACTCTTCGTCGAATCGAACATTTATTATTATTATTAATATTATTATTCGTGTTAGTCATTAAAAAGATCAGGGACCCACCAGCCATGAATTCTTTTTAACCGAAAAGAAAAACTCGTAACGCCGTCGTCGTCGCTCCGATTGGTCAGTAACGATTTCATTTATTATTATTATTATTATTACTACTATTACTACTACTACTATTATTATTATTATTATTATTATTATTATTGTTTTATAATACTGATTTGTTAATTTAGGAAAACGACGGTCGCGCCGCGCCTAATCCGTTTTCGTTTTCTTTTCTTTCCTTTTCGAGACGAAACGACAGACAACTTTCTGAACTGGGACTATTATTATTATCATTATTATCATTATTATTATTATTATTATTATTATTATTATTATTATTATTACTATTTGCATACGTAAGCAGATGAAAAAAAAAAAGAAAAAAAATTTGAATTTTTTGCACATAAAAACATTGTTTTTATATCGTGACGTCCTTTTCTGAATTTTAATTTCTTTTTTTTTTTTTTTGTTTAACTTTGGTAACCGTGTAATCCTTTTCGACCGTGTAATTATTATCATCATCATCATTATTATTATTATTATTATTATTATTATTATTATTATTATTATTATTATTATTTCTGTTGTTGTTGTTTTAGAATTTCTTTAGATATGCAAAAACTTTTTTTTTTTCCCCCTCGCTCGTTTTCTCACGAGAGGGTTTTTTATTATTATTATTTATTATTCGACCTCGAGGGAGACAGGAGAGGGAAGGGGAGGGGGAAGCTTTTTTCCATATCGATAATCATCCCCATTCTTTACATGATTTTCGCATGAACGTAACCTATTTATTATTATTATTATTATTATTATTATTGTTATCGTTTCATCGCGTTCGAAGTTAATTTTTTTTTTCTTTTATTCTTTTAAATTAGAACACCGTTTTTATTTATTATTATTATTATTATTATTATTATTATTATTATTATTATTATTATTATTATTATTATTATTATTATTATTATTATTATTATTATTATTTAACGTAAAAGGTTTTTTAAGTTGAAAAAACGATTGGAGGGGGAAACTTTCAAATATTCGGTCAAATTTCTAATTCGTATAATAAAATTAAGACGTACGAGGGGGGGAGATGGGAATGGGGAGGGAGAAAGGAGAAGGAATGACGGAAATGGGGGAGGAGGAAAAGTTTCGAAGGAATAAAAATTTAGGATGACTTTTTGGCATGCGATCCCGTCGCGAAGGAAACAAAAAAAAAAAAAAAAAAAAAGAAATCTTGATTAGGGGATTTTTTTTTTCGTCGTCGTCAAAAAGCAGAAGACAAACGTCGTCGCGGGGAAAAGTTTTAAATAATAACATTATCATTATTTTTTTCGGTTTTTCCATTTCCATTTCCACTTCCGCTTTTCCGCAAAGTTGTTGAAAATATAAAAAAAAAAACAAAATGAGAAACGCTCCAGGTGGTGGTTAAGAATGAAGAATGGAAAAGTCAAATAATTTTCGTTTCTATTTTTTTTTTCTTCTGCTTTTTCTTCTGCTTCTTCTTTTTACCGAGAAAATTATTATTATCAGTGATTAGGATGAGACTATAACTTCGTAGCAAAATTGTTGTTGTTGTTTCGCATTTCGTTTCGTTGCTCTCTGCCTGCCTCAAGTCGTCAAAGTCGGTCCGAGGAATTTATCTATCGATATATCGCGAGATTTTTCGAGACAATCGAACATGATGCGATTCTTCGATTCAAGGTGTATCGTTCAAAAGAATTTAAAAAAAAAAAAAGGAAAACTAATTATTTGCCGACGATGATTATAATAGACGACTCGGTGTTACTCCCTATTCAATGATCCAAGGCAAACATGTATTTTGTATTTACTTATCCGGCGTTATCGCGGGAACGGGGATTGAAATTTTAAATTTTTTATTTTTATTCTCCGAACGAAGAATTATCATTATCGTCGTCATCGTTGATAATATCATTATTATTTCCAGGTACGGTAGAATTTTCGCGACGAAATTCCCTTTTATTCGTGAGAAATTATTACTTCGCGATGGGGACGGAAAAGCGAAAAAGGAATTTTTTGTTTGTTTGTTTTCTTTTTGATGGGAGGAAAAGGAGGAGGAGGAGATTTCGATTTTCTCTCGTCGCGCAACCCCCGCACCCACCCACCCACGAACGAACGTATCCCGTTTCTTCGCGCGGGTTATCGTCATAATCATAATCATCATCATCATCATCATTTTTCCTCAGGTTTCGATTTGTCGACAAAAATGTTTTTTTTATTTTTTTGCGCAACATTTGCGCAAAGTCACAGCGGTGTCGCGCACGTGATGATAATATTTATTAGTTTTCATATGGGAAGCCTTTTAAATTTTTTTTTTTTTCTGTTTCTCGTTACGTTTGTTCCGCTAAAACACTTTTAAAGATGATGATGTTGATAATAATAATATTAATATGGGAAATTTTTTTAAAATTCATTCTCGGAGTTCAATGATAACCGTGACGTTGCTATTTATCAAAATGGTTGAAGAACAGGTGATGACGAATTAAAAAAAAAAAAAAAATCGTAAGGAAAAAACTTTTATTCGAAACGAGAAAAAGAAAAAACGTTCGAATCGGTCACTGATAACAACAACAACAACAACATCCGGTAAAACGCGATACGAAAAAATTTATTTGGTCACGTGATAATAATTATTTCTCTCTCTCTCTCTCTCTCTCTCTCTATCTATCTCTCTCTTTCTACAAATTTCATGGATAATTGACCTCGAAAGCGTAAAAAAATTTGGCTTTCGTAAACGGTTGGTAGTGTAAACGTTTTTTTTATCGTAAATTTTATTTATTTTTTCAAATTGAAAAGATAGTGGCAGCAGAATAAAAAAAATTACTTTTCCTTCGCATAATTATATCCGTTATCTAAATGCTTTGAATTTCTATTTCGCGCGCGTTTATTTATTTATTTATTTATTTTTTTTTTTACCACGCGTGGGATTGGAATTACATCAACGTCGTGGAAATAGAATGAAATGATTTTTCTATCGATTCTTATCGCGAATGATTGATCGAATCGGAAAATTTAAAAAAAAAAAAAAACGAATCGATTTTCATTCTGCCGCTTTTCTTCTTTTCTTCTTTCTCTCTCCACTTCATAACTGACGTTTTTTGTCCGAAAAAAAATTATGGAGTCGTGGACGCAGAACAAGTCGATCGAAGATTTTAAATAGATGAGGTTTTTTTTGTTTTTCGTGTCAGGATCAAAATAATTAATCTTTTTTTTTCGTTTGTTATGCAACGGCTTGAAAAGGCACGACGACGACGATGAGAAAGAAGAAGAAAAAAGCTCGTTTGTTTTAAAACGAGGTTGTTAAGGTTTCGTTTGTTTGTTTGTTTGCCAGTTGTTTGTTTGGCAACCGAGAAAAGTTAAAAGCGCAAAGGAAAAATTTTAAAACTTGAAAAAAACTTGAATTTTGTTTAATTAGTTTTTTTTTTTTTTTTTGTTAGGAGTTCGTTACTTTAAGTCTTCTTTGTCCATAAAAAAAAAAAAAAAAGATCAACGTACCTTTAGAATTTATAATTGATCGTGGCATTTTTATTAATACCGTGCGTAGGGGAAAGTTATATAACTTTCTTACTAGTATTATTATCAATGAGATTTTGCAAAGATATTTTTATAGATGCTCGCTTTCTTTTTTCTTTTATTACCGAACAAACGGATCGACTGCATAATTTCTTTTATTATTATTATTATTATTATTATTATTATTATTATTATTATTAATATCTTCTTTTTTTCTTAAAATTTTGCATTTTCCGTTTGTTCGCCATTTTTTATTTAAATTTAAATATTATTATTATTATTATTTTTTGTATTATTATTATTATTTCTTTAAAACGTAACGTTTAAATTTTTTTTTTCTCCTTCCACGAAAAGTTTTCGTAACACTAGTATAATATAAATATCGTTTTAAATTATAATTGATTAGGCGTAAAATTACTCGCTCGTTATTTTTTAATTTTTATTTTTGTCGTGGAAGTAGTAGTTTTGCGGAACCTTAAAGAGTACCTTGACACGAAGTTTTAACGTGACCACACCTTTGATTTGTACACCTGAAATCAAAAATAGTTTTTTTTTTTTTTTTATAGACGTCGTGGAACGGGGAAAAGAGTCAAAATACTTTTAAAAAAAAAAAAAACGTGTCAGCAATTTTTCTATTTTTTTTTAAGGAATCGTCGTCGTCGTCGTAAACGAAATCGTTGGATTATTATTACCATTTCGTTGTTATTTTTGTTTTCCTTTGTTTGTTTTTTTTTATTTCAAAGGTTACACGGTGCCCTTTTCAAATCCGCCAATACCGTCGGGGCGTCTTCCTTCGGTAGTTTTTTTTTTTTTTTTTTTCGATTACGAATGAACCTTGACGCGAAATAACACCCACCTACATCTCGCCGTGGGTTCTGACGACGAAACCGTTTAAATGTACCGTTATTCGCATCTTCTCTCCCCTCCCCTCCCTTCCTCCCTCGTTCCCCCCCCCCGTTCGCTCATCGTTTCTTTTTCATTGTGAAAAATAAGGTGGAATGAAAAACCGTTTTTGCCTGGAGGAAGAGACAAAGAAGAAGGAAGAAGAAAGAGTGGACCGGGTGCGCGGGGGTGTGTGTGGGTGTGGGTGTGCGTGAGTGAGTGCGTGAGTGATGACGACAAACGATATTTAAGGGATGGATACAGGAATGGATGTTATCGATTCGTTTACGATTCCAACGGTTTTTTTTTTTTTTAAATCGGGAATGGGGAGTGTGGGTGTGGGGTGGGTAAAAATGGGAAAAGTGTGGGGGGGATGGGAACGGGGGGAAAGTTTATTAAAAATCGTCTGTCATCAATTTTTTTTTTTTTTTTTTGTTTTCTTCCGTTTCCTCTCGAATGATCGTAATTTATTACGTAATAATTTTTTTTTTTTTATTTGTGAACGAAAAACGAATCGGAATCAATTATTTGCCCCCACCCTTCTTTCCCTTCTCCCCTCCCCCCACACTTATTTTTTTTTTTTTTAAACGTCCTTTATCGTTAACCGAAAGTAATAATTCAATGGATTCATCAAGAACGAAGCGAATTTTTTTTTTTTTTTTCGTTAAAAATAATAATAATAATAATAATAATAATAATAATAATAATAATAATAATAATAATAATAATAATAATGATAATAATAATAATAATGATAATAATAATAATGGT